ACAATAGAAAAAAGAAAGCATCTTCAACAAATGGTTATGGTATAACTGGATGCTGGCATGTAGAAGACTTCAGATAGATCCATGTCTATCACCATATACAAAACTTAAGTCCAAATGGCTCAAAGACCTCAAGATAAATCCAGCCACACTGAACTTCTTAGGAGAGAAAGTGGGAGAGTCCCTTGAATGAATTGGTACAGGAAACTGCTTCCTGAACATAACTCTAGTAGCACAGGCTCTGAGATAGACACTTCATAAATGGGACCTCCTGAAACTGAGAAGCTTCTGTAAGGCAAAGGACACATTCAACAAGACAAAAAGGCAGCCCACAAAATGCAAAAAGATATTCATTAACCCCACATCTGACAGAGGGCTGCTCTCTAAAATTTACTAAGAACTCAAGAAGCAAGTCTCCAAAACACCAAATGATCCAATTAAAAAGTGGGCTACAGGACTAAATAGAGAATTCTCGGTAGAGGAGTCTGAAATGGCTGAGAGACACTTAAGAATGTGCTCAACCTCCCTAGCCATCTGGGAAATGCAAATCAAAATAACTCTGAGATACCATCTTACATCCTTCTTGGGGAATGGAGAGGGGATTGGGTAGGAGGCCTGGGTGGGTTGGGGGAGGGGAGGGTGTGAGGGGTGGGATTGACATGTGAAGCAAGCTTGTTTGTAATTTAAATTAAAAAAGAAAGTAAATAAATAAAATTTCCCTTCTTCCTATGTAAAAGAGACAGACAGAGACAGAGTAAAAGAATGGATAAAAAAAAAACGGTATCTATCTTTCTGATATATCTAAGAAACACACCTGAATATCAAGGGTTAGGCACTACCTCAGGATAAAGGGTTTCAAAATATATTACACGCAAATGACCCTAAGAAGCAAGCTAGTGTAGCTATTCTAATACCTAACAAAACAGATTTTAAAACAAAATTAATCAAGATTCAGGAACAGATAACTTCATAATCATCAGATGAAAAGTCTACCAAGATGTTGTTTCAGTTCTTAACTTTTATGCTCTGATTGGAAGGGTACCCACATTTGCAAAATAAACATTATTAAAGCTTAAACAACACATCATCCCTCACTCTTTGATAGTGGGAGACTTCAATACCCACTGCCAATGGACAGATCATTCAGACAAAGCCTAAACAGAAAAATACTGGAGCTAACAGATGACTACATTTTATCAGCTTTGAAGGATTATGCGGATTAATATCTGTAGTCTACAGGGAATTATTCTACTCCCTACCTTGCCAAATTCAAGTTCAAAATCAGTGAAGAGTTCTAATGGAGACACTGTGTGTACTTGGCACAAGCCCCTCAATGTCCTGTGTTTACCTGCAATGTGATCATGAAACTGTGGCGTGGGACTGATCCAGACCCCCTGAATGTGGGTGTCAGTGAGGAAGCCTAGGTTATCTATGGTGCCTTGGGTAGTATTTATCCCTGGCAAACAGACTTTGAGTGCTCATCCCACAATGAGGGATGCTTTCTCAGCCTGGACTCTTGGGGGAGGGCCTAGGCCCTGCCCTGGATGAAATGACAGACTCTGGTGATTCACCATGGAGGGCCTCATCCTCCCTGGTGAGCAGAATGGAGATTGAGTAGAGGGCTTGGGGGGGGGGCTGGTGGGGAGGGCGGGAGGGGGGAGAGAGGAGGGAGAGGAAGCTGGGATTGACATGTGAAGCAAGCTTGTTTCTAACTTAAATAAAAAAAGAAGAGGAAAAAAAGATAAAAAATAAAGAAGAAATTTGAAAATTTAGAAATCTCAACTTCACTCAGCAGGCTTCATAAAGCCTCCCAATTCCTCAAATATTACTCGGGGATAATGGTACATGATGCTAATGATAGTCACCACGACAACTAATAATGCCCTGATCTTGAGTTGGTTACTCATGTAAGAAACCTGGGCTTCCCCTTTCTCTCAGAGGAGATCCTGACGCGGACAGTGCCAAGTACCACCCTCAAATCCCATGGGGCACCAAGTAGGCGCTGCCAAACAGAGGCAGGCTCTGCTCTCTCTGCTCATTTCACATTGTTCTCATTGACAATCCTAGTTCTTACCCCCACAGGGACCTGAAGTTTTCTTATATGACTTTTAGAAACTTAATTAGGATTACTGGTATTATTTCCACAGGAAAGATGACAATGACTCTTTACTATATATATTTCATACACAATTTTAAGTATTAGAACCTTCTGGAACCCATTTTTAAATGCATGTATGTATATATACATGTGTTCACATGCATGCTTGTGTGTGTCTATGCAACTGGGTGGACGTGCACATGCACATATGTGAGCATGTTCACATATAGACAGGAAAACAGCCTCTAGTGGCAACCTCAGAAACTCTTGAAGACAAGGACTCTTGACCTGGAGTTTACTGTGTAAGATAGAGTAGCTGAAGAGTGACCCCCGGAATCTGTCTCTGTCTTCCACCAGCCTTTGAGGCCTGAGATTGGGGTGGGGGGGCGCTGCAGCAGCCAGAGTTCATACCTCAGTGTAAGAGAGTTTCTGCCTTCAGGGGGAGGTGGACAGTGAGGACTTTCACTCCAGGGGTACTGTGGTGGAGGTGTAGCCTCGCTCAGCAGGAGTGGAGCTGACCAGGAAGTCCCATGGGTGGTCTTAACTGTGGCCTTGCTTTCCTCAGCAGGTTTTTGTGGGGCCTGAACTGTTTGTCTCCTCATCATTGGATGGCATAGAGAGATCAGACGAGGAAGGGTTGGAGGTGATGGAGAGGTTATCCATTTTGTAGCGGGATACAGCAAAAGAGCAATAGTCAGAGAGAAGATGACAGCGAAATGGGGGTGGAAAATTGGGTTGGACCTTCATGTTTTATGCTCAGTGGGGGACGACTGTATGCCCATATGGTGTCTCTGGACAAGGGATGGCATTCAGGAGCCAAGCCTTGGTCCCGCCTCCTGGGGAGTTAAACCTTATGTGGAGGTGCTGGGCAAACAGAAACAGAAAAAAATATGTGCCTTCCTAAGCAGACAGGCAGACAAACACAGCAGATGACACAAACGAATTAAAGAAACCCACAGGGGCAGGGTGGGTGGGGGGTGTTCCCAACGCCTACCTGCTAAAGACCAGAAATACACAACATCGAGGGGCCTTCTCACCAAAACACACATTCTTGGGGGTGCTGTCCAGCACCTTCAGTGAAAGTAACTACTATCACCATAAACAGCGATCAGAAAAACAGACAAAATCCAAACCCCCCGAATTACAGCCAAAATGAAAACCGAAAAGGACCTTGACCAGATAGGGTCAAACCCCACGCCAGAAGTCAAGTTCAGGCACCCTTTCATGGTCCTAACAGTTCCCTCCGGGGAGAGGGTGAGAAAGCATGGCCTCAACAGCACAGACATCTGGAGTCAGGCAAACAACAGACTCATTTATTCAGTAATAGGAAGAGTCTAATACACCCTCCTCCCCTGCTTCCAAATCCAGTGACATTGTGTTGTGGTCCCTCATTGGATAGGCATGATCAGGATCTCTGACAGCGCCTGTTGCTAGGTCCTCAGGCAGACCCCAGTCCCTTTGTGATTCAGGAAGGTTCAAGGACCCAGGACTCAGCATATTGGAGGCACTTGCTCAGCAATATTTTTGGATCTCTGGGGATGAAAATGCTTTTGCTTCAGAGAGCTAGGAGTAACCATAGTCTACTCAGTGAGCCACTATCAACACCAACCTAAAGCCACTCCTGAGACAATTGAGTGCACTCAGCCAGAAGTTGCAAAGGCTGCTGCAGACCCCTCAGTGGTACAGGTTTTAATGGATAAGATGTTGTCCAGAGTGACAAAGGGCCACACTTTCTACGGATACACACACGATGAAACCCACATCCTGAAATGGAGGGCCAAGGGAAAGCTTCTGATATCACACACAAATGAGAACTGCCACTGAGGCAACATGGACAGGAACTTCACTTAAACAGCTCCCACAGGTTTCCAATCCCCCTGTGGGAATAGTCCCCTAGGGAGGACTACCAGAGAGCAAACAGGACCCAAAGAATCCTGTTCACTCTGTGACAAGCAGCACAAAAAGGGGAGGTAGTCTGGAACCAAGAGAGGCAAAAGCTAACACACACATGCAGGAACCCTCCGGGGGGTCTTCACTGAGAACACCGTAAGACAGCATGAACTGAAGACACGTCACTGAGTAATAGGACTACACTTTTATTGGATGCTGTGTGTTTTGACACTGAAATATTAAATATCTCTATGCTTTTGTTCCAGCAAATTATTTTTAAAAAATGTTACTACAAGAGAAGGTAATACATGACAAAACAGGGGAACGTTTTGAAGGTTTGGTGTTCCTTTAGAAATTACAATGCTATGGACCACCCCAGCTGGGTATGGGGGTCCCTGGAGTGAGGGTCCTAGAAGGCTAGGTGGGTAAGGATTTGGTGGTGACAAACAGAAACAAACACAGAGGCAGTTTGAATCTGAGTGTATTTTGCAGTTCTCAAGCAAGGTTTTCTCAGAGGATGTTTTTGTTAAACTCAAACATGCAACATTGTTGTTACTTGGCATAGTGATGCAGAAATCCAAAACATTAAATCATCCAGATTTAATCAAAGCACAATATTGTCCTTGATTAATCAAAACATAGAACTGTCCTTGGTCTTAAATCAAATCAATATATATATATTATATTTATATATTATATATATATGTATATTGGTTTTTTGAGACAGGGTTTCTCTGTATTGTTTTGGAGGCTGTCCTGGAACTCACTTTGTAGACCAGCCTGGCCTTGAACTCACAGAGATCTGCCTACCTCTGCCTCTCGAGTGCTGGGATCAAATACGTGTGCCACCAACACCCGGCTCAAATTAATATATTTTTATGGTTAGTTATTATTTAACAACTATTACCTATTTCTTGTGAGTTTTTGAAATGTTGAGCTATTCAACTATTTCAGCTCTTTCTTATTAAAAGCTTTCATTAGCAGATACTTAAGCACACTCGCGATGACACACGTATAGCCATATGAAATTTTATTGTTGGGAAAGTTTTTACTATTTGTAGTTATGAGAATGACGTGAGTGATTTGGAAAGAGCCAGTTTTTCTGGAGATGAGGTCATGGCTAGTGACTCCATCTCGAGGGATGGTTTCTTCTCTATACCTCTCACTTACAATGTCAGCATAGGCTTTCAGGAACATTTCATTGATGTGAGAAAGGAACAAAAAAAGGAATAGAAGAACAATCAGAAATTGCCACAAAAATCACAGCCCAATATTTTTCTCCGGCTGAAAGTTCCATAACCATTTCCGGGAGACCTCCTTCTTTTGAAGTTATCACCTCAGTCTTTGGAACTTGTCACACAGAATCTACTGGTTTTGGTGTGACATTACAAAATTTTATTAGCAGAGCTGAACTCTTCTGCCACTTCTGAAGTGTGAACACTGGGTTTCTCTATCCTAGGAGATGCTACATACTTATTCTGAAAACAAGTGAATACAAAGCATGGAAAAATAACAAAAAGAATCAGAATAATCATTATATAATAAATAGATGAGTCATTTCTCTTGGGTTTCTCTTCTTTTGGAGGTGAAGGTGGAGGGCCACTGTCAACACTCCCTCCACCACCGTTTGTAAGGCACTGTGGTGGGTCCCTCCCGAAGTTGCAGTGGCAGTGGTGTAAATTGTTGCAGACTCCGTTCCTGTTGCATGTCTCTGGAGAACAATCACTTACCCACACTGACTTACTGACACACTTCCTATCAATGCACACATGCTCTGGACCACAGTCTGTGCCATCTTTCACATGGCCAATGTCAAGTGTTGTCATCCCAAAATGGTAGTCAGTTCCCCAACAGGTGACACCATTGAGGTGAGTCCAGTGAACAGTGGAATGTCCTTGCAAAGTAGGAATAGCTTTCACATTCTCACACTGAACTCTCCCACAGAGGATGTCTGAGTCATTACATCTTAGGTATGTACTTCTGAAGAGACCACAGTTGCCAAAACGGTCACCTTGGGTGTTGACTTCCCTGTAGCATCTCAGAGCTGCACTCCTGGCTTCTTTGCCAAAGATTTGCTGGCACTGTTCATCTCGCTTATTACATCTCTTTTCATAGCAGTATCCCCCATCTTTACAGGAGCTCCCGTCAAGCAAGTAGACATCATTAGGGCACTCATGTGAGTGTCCATCACACCATTCTGGAAGGTCGCATTCATTGTCAGCTTCTCTGCACAGTGTGCCTGATGGCATGATCTGGCAGCCTTTGCAGCAAAGTCCAAAAGCACACGAAGCCCCACGTTGGAGCACGCAGCCCTCCATACAACATGGATCAGCTCTACATGCCTGCCAGGATCCACAATCGCACTGCTCTCCATCCTCAACTACACCATTCCCGCAGAACTTGAATTTGAGATTGCTTACCAGCTTCGTTTCCTTGCGCAGACAGTTGGTAGTAGCATAGGTTGTCCAAAATGCAGCATAACTGCAATTGCTGAGTTTGTTGATGCCATAGCCTGCGTTCATTAAGCATGGTTGATCTCCACATGTACATGTGCCCTCGTCATGCTTCATACCCAAATTATGACCCATCTCATGTGCTGTAATATGTCCAAAACGAGGAATATCAGATCCTAGAAGGCGAATAACTCCACAATTATTAGATGGCACACAAACAGATCCAACAAAGGCTGAACCAAGATGTATTCCAAAATGATGTTTCACAAAAAGATGTGCAATATCAGTTTGAATGCGATTATTAAGGCTGATACTCTTCCAATAGCAAAAATCCCTCAGGAGATTTTTTATGGTAGTCACTGTCACTTGGTTTCCTGCATTCCACATCTCAACTCCAAATAGAACTACCTCAACATCCAGTGTACGAAAAATCTCATTGATTACACCAACAATGAGGAATACTTCCACTAAAACATGCGACAAATTGCCATTTAGATAACTAATTCGCTCATGGTCTACAACCAATGCCAGGTTAAGAAAATGCTTGTGGGTCCACCAGCCCTTATAGCTGCTTTGCATCAGTGTGCGGTTATCATTCTCTTCAAGCTTCATTTGCTGGGCTATCTCCTCCTCTGTTAGTGCGCACCTCATGGGGAGTAATTGTGACTCCTCACTGTCTATCTTGTGAACCAAATGTTCGAATGTCGAGGAAAGGTTCTTGGGCTTGATTTCATATACAGTCCCATTTATCTGTAATGTTCCTTGAAATCCCCCCAAACAGGTAGTAAGGGCAACCATGGACTCTGGGTCTCCATCTATATAGCCATGGTAGTAGCAATCCTTCTGAACAAAAGGCTGGTCCTTGTGTAGAGCACCTTGGTCAGTGTAAGTGAACACAGAGAGGTGTCTAGACATGAAAAACTTTTTGATTTTCATGTAGATAACATGCCTCTGACTCCCAAAGTTCAGGCTATATGTCAGCCATCCCATAGCCCACATCGTTCTGTTGCCTGTGACCCGTAAGGGTATCACTACTTCTGGGAGGCTGGTGTGTTGAGCATGCCCAGTCAAAGGCCATGTTGAAAGAATGATCAACATCCCCAGCCAGAGGTGCAGATGACTTATCCTCATGTGCGTCCCAGGCTCACCCATAGCCACCATGTCCCACAAGACATCCAAGGAGGATGCCCTTTGTCTTAGTTGCATGCAGTGTTGACTCTTAATGGTCTGTCTTCTGGCTGAGTTGATGCATTAGAGCAGCAAGCCTGAATGTAAAAGGAAAAAGAAGGCAGACAAAGGGGTAGTTTAGTTTTTGGCAGGGCAAAGTAGAAGAGAAAGAGGTAGGTATGAGATTAAATGGTTTAGGTATTGATCTAAGGCACAAACCACATAGTGTGCTTGATTTGCTACTTAATTTTGTTGAAGTACAATCTATAGGTGTAAGTAAGAATCATAATTTACTAATGTTGTTACTCCAAATCTATATAAAGAACCCATGGGTTTAACATGTTGTTTTTTTAAATATATGGCTTCACATACCTATAATAAAAATTTAATAAAACATGTCAATACACAGTGGTGGTATATGTCATATTTCAATGAGGCAATATTGATGTCTACACATCAACTTGGAATAAGGACAAAGGTGGTCTTTCAATTTACAACAACGAATTTTTGAGTAAATTTACTTAGGAGAGATCTATAAACAATACTCACATTACTTTTCTATTATCAGTTTATTACACACACTGACACACACACACACAGAGAGACTCATCTCTGTACAGTAAATCATTACTTTATATGTCTTACTTCACTTTAATGAACTTGAAAAATGTCAAAGCATCTCTGTTAAAAAAAAGCCCATGATTTCAGAGTTCCTAAGTCCTCGTGAGGAAGCTAATGGGATCTTGTTACTAGGTGGACATAATATTCCTTTCGACTAGTATTCTATGCTTGTGTTCACAGGTCAGTGTTGCTGTCAGCCTTAGAGACGCTCATGTTCACAGCTTATTCCTGGAAACAGGGTATTTAGACAAGATAGTCTGACACCTTAGCTGAAGGCTGGATTCATTGGGAAATGTATATTAAACATGCCCCATGCTTCTTTAATAATTTGCACTTGCTTCTACATTGTTTTTTTGTTTGTTTTTATGAGACAGGGTTTCTTTGTATTGTTTTGGAGGCTGTAGGTCCAGTCTGGCCTCGAACTCACAGAGATTCGCCTGCCTCTGCCTCCCGAGTGCTGGGATTTAAGGCATGTGCCACCACTGCCCAGCTACATTGTTCCTTAATTTTCACAAATTTTTAAGTCAATACATAGGAGCACAGATGAAAATTTACATTTTAATGTTGTTTTTATTGTTGAATTTAAATAAAAATATATTAACTTATAAAAACAATAAGTTTTCATTGAATTCCTTTATATTCAACATTGGAGTTTTTCATCAATTCTTTTCCTGAATCTTTGTTTTGTCACTAAATGTACATATATAGGATCTTGTTTTCTGTTAAACACGAATCTCATTATTGGAATAATAATAGTCCCTTCATGACTTGGATAAAGTAAGCAAGAACAAAAAATTAGAGGCTTTGCAAGCCAGAAGGGATTGTTTAGTACATAAGATGCTGGTGAGGCAAGCATGGGGTTCGAGTTTGGATCACCAGAACTCGTGTTTACACATCAGCATCGGTGGTTTCTTTCTGTGAACCCAACACTGGCAAGCAAGGCAGAAGATGAGTGAACAGAAATGGAAAGATTCCTGGGGATTTTAAGCACCCAGTCTAGCTACTTTAGTAGGCTCTTTAAGCATTGAGAGATCCTGTCTCGAAATAAGGCAACTAAAGACAAGTCATCCAACATCCACCTGTATTCTGTTCACATGTGCTTATATGTGCACTCACATACATTTTCACAAGTGAACACAGTTGTACAATATGCACCCACACACAAACACACACAGTAGGCTTATTGAAGAAAATGCTTAGAGAACATTAAAGAAGACAGGAGAAAAAAGTTTCAGAGAACAAAATTTCTAAATTGTGAGTAACTTCCTAATACTACCATTTGTTTTCCACGTCTTTGTGGTTTGCTGTTGTTATTGGGTTTTTTTCTTAAAGATGGGATTTTAGTATCTGACTTTGAATTTGATTTCATGGTCCTTTATCCTGAGGTTTTCACACAACTGGTAGGATTCCAGACATGTAGCATCACATTAGTTTCCATACTTTTCTTGAAATATATTTAACATTTTAAATATTAGTTTTGGTTCTGATGATAAACATTGATTTATTATTGATGTAATACTCTTGGTAACTAACATATAAATTCATCGTAATTTACTCTTTAAGTGTCATCATGTAATCTTCTCAAAGGAAAACTAAAGAATACAATCTGGGTTGTTTTTGTCCTGTCTACAATATTTTATATAATGACTCAACATGCCACAGATCCCGAGTGACTGTAACATGCTCATTTATAAAGATATATAGTCCATTGTTTCTTTTCCATAACTTCACCAAATTCATTAATCTCTGTACTGTACTTACTACCTAACATTTTTTTCTGATGTAGTGTCTAATTCAATGTTATTCAATGCAACTATAACCACACATTCAAAATGTTTAGCATGCCCAATCAAAGGAGTAGAGCAGAGTAGGAAAAATGTGGTTTTAATACTTTATATATGGACAAGGTTTGAAATACTGGATAAGAATCATATTGTGGCCGGGTGTTGGTGGCACATGCCTTTAATCCCAGCACTCAGGACAGAGGCAGATGGATTTCTGTGAGTTTGAGGCCAACCTGGTCTACAAGAGCTAGTTCCAGGACAGGCTTCAAAGCTACACAGAGAAACATTGTCTTGAAAAACTAAAAAAAATCATGTTTCATGTACATGTGTGTGGAATTCTAGTCTAATTATTTGTGCTTCTATCCTTTAATGTTAAATTCTTGAATGACTTACTAGCAGGTGAAGTGACAATGTCCATGATCTTTTCTAATGATAGCTTTCTTCATGTCTCAGATTATTTTTGAGACCTTACACGACAGAGAATATTTGTCTTCACCTTCCTTTGTCTTTCATAGGGTTGAGTTCTACACTGAACTGCCTAGCAACAAGAACATTTCAGTTTACAGAACATTACAACTGGATAAGATTCTATCTCATTTCCCTACAATTTCAACCAGTTTGTTTTCTATTGACACCTCAGTATGAGCAATCAGATTTTCTATTATGCTTCAATAGCTCTTCAAAATGAATCAAGCTCATTTCTCTTTTTTGCATTTTTATTAATTTATTTTTTACATTTCAATCCCAGTTCTCTCTCATTCCTCTCCTCCTGCTCCCCCCACCTTTCCCACCTGTTCCGTGGAGAGGGAAAGGCCTCCCGTAAGAAGTCTGTCCCATCATCTAGTTGAGGCAGGACCAGGGCACCTCTCTTGTGTCTAGGATGGGCAAGGTATCTCTCCATATAGAATGGGCTCTACTTAGTCAGTTTGTGCATTAGTGTTAGATCTTGGACCCACTGCCAGTGGCCTCATATATTGTCCCAGTCACACCATTGTCATCTATATTAAGGGAGTCTAGTTTGGTCTTATGCAGGTTGCCCATTTGTCAGACCTTAGTCAGTGATCTCTCACTAGTTCCGGTTAACTGATTCTGTGGGTTTCCCCATCATGGTGTTGACTCCTTTGTTCATATAATCACTCCTGCATCACTTCAGTGGTACTCCAGGAGCTTGGCCCATTGGTTAGTTGTGGATTTCTGCATCTGTCAAGCTCATTTCTTGACTACCATTCTGGATTTCCTCCATAAGTCACATAATTGTTATACCTTCTGCACTTTTGCTCATGTTGCCAACATGGCCTCAGCTTATTCTCATCATACAAGTAAAAAGCAAGCAAATAAGTGTCTGCATTAAATGACATTATACATCAAATGGACTTAACTGACAGTCACATAGTAATTCAACTAAAGAGTACAGAAGAAGCAACTTCTAAATATACATGGCATTTTCTTACACACACACACACACACACACACACACACACACGTAATTCTTTGTATTCTATCTGATCACAATGAGGCAAAACTACAATTTAATAGCACATGAAACTATCAAACACACAAACTGTGGGAGGTTAAATAAGAACATATTGAATAATGCATGGGTTATTGAAGAAATCAAGAAACATCTAGAAATGAAAGATAAAACATAGCATATAAAAGACTATGGAATGCAATGAAAGTATATAGAACCATGTGCCTACATTTACATATCAGAGGGATCTCAAAATATATACCCAAGGGCCTTGTAGAACCTAGTTGAACCCTAAATTGGTAGTTGAAAATAAGTAATTCAGGGTAGAAATGAAAGAAGGGAAATAAAAAATACAAAAGTTTAGTGAAGCAGACAGTTGTTTTTTTGAAAGATAAACAAGATCAACAAACTGGGAGCCACACTAATTAGAAGAAGGAGAAAATCCAAGTTAATGACATTAGAGATGAAAGTGAATCATTATGACACACATGAATGAAATTCAGAACACCATTAGGGCATATGTTTTATAAACATTCCACCAAGCTGAAAAATCTAAAAGAAATGGAAATGAATGACTTTCTAGAGGCATAAGACCTATCAAAATAAACCAAGAAGACAATGCCCCAAGTAGACATCCAAGGTCACTAAGTAAAATCTTTAGTACCAGGAATGGGTTACAACTTGTTGAGTCATTTACCAAACAAGTCCTGAAATCACAATTTATTACCAAGGCTATTGGTTCCTTTCCACAACCTCTTGGTAAGGCCCAATATCTGAAGGCAATACTGTGTCATCAAACATGGAGAAGTTGAGCTTTTATCCAGCTAGAGTCTTTACCCCTACTGACTGCTATTCTTGGTACTGGAAATTACTCTGTACATTACAGGAGAAAGGCAGTCATCAATATTACCCAGCTACAAACTCTGGGACCTACCTGCAAGATATACTTGTTTAATCATGGTACAAATGTCATGGAAGTAAACAAGTACTTTTTAAAGTTTTTTTTTTACTCATTTTACATACCAGCCACAGTTATCCTTTCCTCTCCTCCTCCCACTCCCCCACTACTGCCTTCTGCCAACCCCTTCCACTCCTCAGAAACAATAAGGCCTCCCTTGGAGAATCAACGAAGTCTGGCACTTTCAGATGAGGCAGGACAAACACCCCTTCCACCCCCCCCCACCCCTTCAGGGAGGTTGAGCAAGGCATCCCACCATATAGAATCAGATGCAGAGACCCACAGCCAAACATCAGGCTGAGTTCCAGGAGTCCAGACAAAGAGAGGGAGGAGGGTTTATATGAGTAAGGGGGAGGGGATCAAGAGCATCATGCGGAAACCTACAGAGACAGCTGACTGGAGTTCATGGGAGCTCAATGACAAGAAGTTATTTGCAATTGATCCCTATAAAAGGAAGATTACCATACACAGGATAGGGATGTTGTATATTGTTTTTTTTTGTTTTGTTTTGTTTTGTTTTTTAGGGAGAAATGACCTACATGAGAAACCAATAACCTAAGGTCAGCACTCCGACTGTTTCTGTTGCTCTCCAAGATCCGACTGGAGCCCAGCAGGGCGAGACTTGCTTCTCCCCAGGTTTTTATCCCACACCCCACATCCGTACCTGTGGCCATGTCCAAACGGGTGTGGTCAGCAACACAGGTGCCTAATAAGATCTCTCCCTACAGATCCCTGCTGGAAAAGGGGAAATTAGTTTTTCTCTAGTTCTATGTCACTGGGCAGTCTCCAAGCCCAGAACACAAAATGACCAACACAAAATGAAGTCCATATTGATTATTTGTGTGTGTGTGTGTGTATGAACTTTTGTTTCATTTTTATTTTGCCATTTTTTTCTTGTTAGTTTTTGTTTGTTCTGATTTTAAATTTGTTGATTTTTTTTTCTTGAAAGAGAATACAGTTGGGTGAGTAGGGTAAGGAGATGATGAGAACCTGGGAGGTGCTGGAGGAAGGGAAATCATGATAAAATATATTATATCCAAAACTTTTTAAATAAAAAATTGAGTCAAGGAATAATTTAAAAAGAATACACCAAGACAATTATTCAATATGATCAAGTTGGTTTTATTCAACAGATGCTAGGAATGGTTCAACATCCAGATGCCAACAATTATAATTTATCACCTAAGTAGACTGAAGAAAAGAAATTTCATGACAATCTCAAATGATTCAGGAAAAGATTGTGTCAAAAGTCAAAATCCCCTCACAATGAAAGTCTTGAAGAATCTGGGTTAGATGGGACATATGCCAAGATAATAAAGAGATCTATATCTCTAATTCTATCTCTATCTATCTATAAATGTATAACTGTGTCCAGGTAATTGTATAAAAACAGCCAGGTAAGATCCAGGTGGATATACTAGAATTCCACCCTATTTCCTCTGTTAGAAAAGCACTCCAAGGATCTAGATTCTCCAATTCAGTGCTGGATGAACAAGGTCAGAGGGGAGTGAGTTCAGTTAAACTAGCTCTCTCCTCTCTTCTGCATTATTCCTACGTGGTATTCTGACTTTCACTAGGAACATAGATCATGCTATCCCTCACGTTTGAACTTCCATGAGTTCAAACAATCTAAAGGGGCTCAGTCTACTCTCTGCAGTCTTGTCAAATTCAAATTCAAAGTCAATTAAGTGTGCTACACAGATACTGTGTGTATTTGAGACAAGCCCCCACACCTCAAAACTATAGAATTTAGAAATTTCACTCAGAAGATCCCCTAAAGCCCTCATATTTACCAAATATTACTTGAGGATGATGATACTTGATACATGATAATCACCATGACAACTAATAATTCCTTGCTCGTGATGTTGGTTCTGTATTACAGCAGAAGACCTGGGCTTTCCCTGTCTCTCAGCTGATATCCTCACGCTGTGTCAAATATCCACCCTCAAATCACATTTAGCACCAAATAGGCACTGATGGACAAAGGCAGACTATGCTTGCTCTGCTTGTTTCTGACTGACATTTCACTTGATCTAGTTCTCCTCACCAGCCCGGGGATCTGTTTCTTTATTATATGGTTTTTCATAATGTAAGGTTATTGGTGTTATTTTCACAGGAACCATGACAGTGAACCCTTAGGATCATTTACATAGAACTCAGAATTATAAGTTTTATAATCTTCTAGATCCTATTTTTATATAGAACATAGAATTGTAAGTACTATAATCTTCTAGGTCCTATTTTTATATGTACGTGACATGTGCATATGCATGTTTGTGTGTGAGCCTGGTCAACTGGGCGGAAGTACACAGGCACAGATATGAGCATGTTAATGTGGAAACAGGAAAAGACCCTCCAGTGGCATCCTTGGGAATTCTGTCCACGTCCTTCAAGACAAGGCCTCTTGACCTGGAGTTCACCCAATAGGATAGAATGGCTGTAAAGTGACCCCAGGAGTCTACCTGTCTCTTCCTGCCCATCACCAGTATCAAAGGCACCAGAACCATCACACTTGGCCTTTTTTTTTAACCATGGACAATACTTTCCCCTAATTGACTTATGAGTACACTTTCTGTGCATGCACAAATGCTTGAAACCACAACCTGTGACATCTCTCATATAACCAATGTCAGGGATGACCAATCCCAAATGGTAGTCAGTCCCCCAACAGGTGACATCATTGAACTGAGTCCAGTTAATAGTGGAATGCTCTCTCAAAGGGGGACTATCCCTATGCTCTCTCACTGAACTCTCCCACAGGGCATATCTAAATTAAGTTTTATGTGTGTATTTCTGATGATAGAACAGTTACCAAAACAGTCACATTGTAGATTTTACTGTAGTCTATCTCCCCTGCAATTCTGGCTTCTCTGTCAGAAGTTTGCCCACACTGTTCATCATTGCCATTGCATTTCTTTTCGTAACAGTAGCCACCATAGTGCAAGGGCTCCCACTGAGGACATAGACAGCAGCCATTGTACCATTCTGGAAGGTTACATTCATTGTCCTCTTCTCTGTACACTGTGCCTGTTGGCATGATCTGGCAATATTTGCAACAAGACCCAAAGACCTCTCCA